GTGGCAGGTTAGCATGTCAATGGGCAGGTGGGAGGGTGCTGCTTTGTTCTGGATGGTGTGGAGCTTCTTGAGTGTTGTTGGGGCTGCACTCATCCAGGCAAGTGGGGAGTGTTCCCTCACCCTCTTGCCTTGTGCCTTGTCGATGGTGTATTGATATAGGGCTGGGTCCAGTTCAGTTTCTGGTCAATGGTAACCCCCAGGATGTTGATAGTGGCGGGGGGGAGATTCAGTGATGGTAACACCATTGAATGTCAAGGGGGCGCTGGTTAGATTCTCTCTCGTTGGAGATGGTAATTACTTGACATTTGTGTGGCATGAATGTTCTTTGCCATTTATGATATGTCTGCATATTGGGCAGGTCTTGCATGCATTTGGACACAATTAATTCGGAAGCCTTAAAGCATGGTCCATTACTGTGTTGCTGCGGCCCTATTGTACAGAATGATGCAGGCACAAGATGGATAATAACTTTATTATGCAGTGAACTAAAAAGCACCGGGAAAGGTGGGGACAATGGGACCATCTGGATCACTCTCTGAAAGAGTCCTTGCAGTTTTGCTCGGCCAGCAACTCGTTCGCTTTCTCCCAGGCAGTCAGAGGGCCCGACTTCCAGGCCAATCCTCCTATCATAGAACTTGTCGTGACGCTCAGTAATTTGTGTTTTTCACATTAATCCTAACAGGAGCCAGTTTGGGGGCGGGGTGGGGGGTGCTGGTGGTGCTGCAGCTTTTCTGTCTCCTCTCTCTCGTTCACCCACTTTAGTGACGGTTAAGAGCTGGGTCGTGTTTGAGGGAGGAACCTGGGGCCAGGTATTGGAATTGGTCAGTCCCCACCTGCTCCCGTCGCCCTCCTCAAATAGTGAACAGGCTGTTGCTGGTGGAGTATTGTGGCCATCCTTGAGAACGGAACAATGTCTCCCTTTTGCCCAGAGACAGCCCTTTGTTTGTTTTTCCCAAGGGACCAGTTGTGGGTTCAGGATAGTAACAGGCTGCTTACTGAAGCAAGTAGCTATCACCTTGTAGGTGGGCAATAACTCAGAAGCACCCAGTCTGCCAAGAGAAATCACCTCAGTCTCTCTCTCTGTCCCTTCTGCGTGGAGAGATAACAGAAAATGTGTGTGTGTGTGTCTGTATGTGTGTGTCTGTGTGTGCATGCGTGTGTGTGCGTGTGCGTGTGCGTGTATGTGTGTGTCTGTGTATGTGTGTGTGTGTCTGTATGTGTGTGTGTGTGTGTGAGTGTCTGTGTGTGTCCTAACAGTACTCCCACTCACCATTTCCCTGTGACCCACTCTCACTGCAAATCGGCCTTTCAAAGGGGGTACAGAGGTGTACAAACAACTTCACCTCATTCTCATTCTCACAGTCTCTCTCACTTTCTCTCTGTCTCACTCTCTCTCTCTATTTCTTTCACTCTTCCTCTTGCCCTCATTCCTACCTTCTCTCACTCTCTCACTGTCACTCTCTCTCTGTCTCACTCTTTCTCTCTGGCTTTCACTGTCTCTCTCTCTCTGTCACCCTCTCTCACTCTCCCTCTTGCTGTCATTCTCACTCTCTCTCACTCTCTGGCTCTCTCTTATAAAAACCAAAAGAACTGCAGGTGCTGTAAATCAGGAACAAAAACAGAAGTTGCTGGAAAAGCTCAGCAGGTCTGGAGGCATCAGTGAAGAAAAAAATCAGAGTTAACGTTTCGGGTATGTTCTGAAGAAGGGTCACCGGACCTGAAACGTTAACTCTTTTTTTCTTGACAGACACTGCCAGACCTGCTGAGCTTTTCCAGCAACTTTGTTTTTGTTCTCTGGCTCTCTCTGTCACTCTCACTCTCTCTCTCTCTCTCTCTCTCTCTTTCTCTCTCTGTCTGGGTAGTATTGGAGATAACAGTCCTCAGAATCCTGGCTAATGCTCCTCCCTCACCCAACACCATTGCAAATGGATAAACTGATGTGTGATCACATTTAGCCTGTTGTGTGAAAAGAACAGGGACAGAATGTGGCAGCAGAGAGCGAGAGCTTATTATAGTGCCAACTGGATATACAGATATTTTATAATGCTCAAGAAGCCAGAAGCAAGGTTCAAATATAGTTTATTAATCATTAATATGAGACGTACAATAGATTTCTCCCATTCCTTTATGAAGAAACATACTGTAATCTAACAACAGCCCACAAATGTCATTGGTCAGTACATTGAGTTGGGAGGGTCATGTGGCGGTTATTGGTGAGGCCACTTTTGGAATATTGCATTCACTTCTGGTCTCTCTGTTATAGGAAGGATGGCGTGAAACTTGAAAGGGTTCAGAAAAGGACGTTGGAGGGTTTGAGTGATAGGGAGAGGCTGAATAGGCTGGGGGCTATTTTCCCTGAAGCGTTGGATGGGGTGACATTATAGAAATTTGTAAAATCATGAGGGGCATGGAAAGGGTGAATAGTCAAAGTCTTTTCTCCAGGGTAGGGGAGTCCAAAACTAGAGGTGCATGGGTTTAAGGGGAAAGGGGAAAGGCACCGGAGGGGCAACTTTTTCACGCAGTGGGTGGTGTGTGTATAGAATGAGCTGCCAGAGGAAGTGGTGGGGGCTGGTACAATTACAACATTTAAAAGGCATCTGGATGGGGATATGAATAGGAAGGATTGAGAGGGATATGGGCCAAATGCTGGCAAATGGGACTAGTTTAACTTAGGATGTCTGGATGGCGTAGATGAGTTGGGCCAAAGGACCTGTTTTTGTGTTGCGTGACTCTGACTGTATAACCATTGATGACCCTTGATTAATGGCAGATCCTGCATTCTGTTAAACAGAAAAAAGCAGAAACGTCCTGCAGGTGAAAACAGTCACTTTCTCTTCTCCCAACGTGGACTGATCTACAGTAAAAACGGACGGAGAAAGGACTCATTTTGGTGAATACTTTCAATATAAAACCGTAGTCAAGGTAAAGAGAAGCCAATGCTGGGTTAGAATAGAGCAATACCCAGTGTTAGATACAGACTAAAGCTCCTTCTACACTGTACCCCCCCCACCTCACCCCCTATCAGATAGTCCCAGGACAGGGACAGCATGCGGTTAGATACAGAGTAAAGCTTCCTCTACACTGTACCCCCATCAAACACTCCCAGGACAGAGACAGCACGGGGTTAGATTCAGAATAAAGCTCCCTCTACTCTGTACCCCCATCAAACACTCCCAGGACAGGGACAGCATGGGGTTAGATGTAGAGTAAAGCTCACTCTACTCTGTTCCACCATCAAACACTCCCAGGACAGGGGCAGCACGGGGTTAGGTACAGAGTAAAGCTAACTCTACACTGTCCCCCATCAAACACTCCCAGGGACAGGGACAGCAAGGTGTTAGATTCAGAGTAAAGGTCCCTCTACACTGTCCCCCATCAAACAGTCCCAGCACAGGGACAGCACGGGGTTAGATACAGTGTAAAGCCCCCTCTACACTGTACTCCATCAAACCCTCCCAGGACAGGAACATGCATAGGGTTAGATTCAGAGTAAAGCTTACTCTACACTGTTCGCCCAACAAACACTCCCAGCACAGTGACAGCATGGGGTTAGCTACAGAGTAAAATTCCCTCTGCACTGTTCCCACCCCCGCATCAAACATTCACAGAACAGGGACAGCACGGAGTTAGACACAGTTTGTGATCGGTGTGCTGCCTGTTTGATAGTTTCTGCGTGACATTGAGAAATTCCATTGGTGTCTAACTGCTGCAGCGTGTGTGAAATTATTGCCCCCCTCCTGAGGATGTTAAGTTGTTGCTGTGATTAGTGACTGGGATATATCTGCGAATGATGCCACTGCCTTACTGCCGCATCACAATGTGTTTTCACTGGGGAAGGTCACTGCTCCACGTTGACTGTCTCACTGACAGTAACACCCTCAGTTAGAATTAACCAACCCACAGGCAAATTAACCTCACTGACCTTTCTCACGCCTCCTTCCAGTCTCCGATGCAGTTATTCTTTACAGGACAGGCTTGGAGACGGCGCACCCTGTCTGTAAAAAGGGGCAATGGCGGTGACCAGTCTGTAAACGTGCACAGAAAGTGCGTGGAAAAGTTGGGGAGTGGGGTGGAGGTTGTGGGAAAGAGCTCAGAGACTGTAAAGGGGAAGTGCTTACCGACTGCGTATCTTTATAACCAGGTACAGACCGATGACAAATCCGACAGCTCCTACAATTACACCGACAGCACAGATAACAGTCCCAGTGTGATCCTGTTGAGGAGGGGGATCTGCGTAAAAACAGGACAGGAACAATCATTACACCGACATTCCTGTTACCCATCTTCATTGATCGTCAGATATAGGCTTTTACAGGGCTCCCGCTGTAGTGTGTCAGTATTTACAGGGCTCCGAGTGTACTGTCTCAGTATTTACAGGGCTCCCAGTGTAGTATGTCAGTATTTACAGTGCTCCCAGTGTAGTGTCTCAGTATTTACAGCGCTCCCAGTGTAGTGTGTCAGTAGTTACAGTGCTTCCAGTGTAGTGTGTCAGTGTTTACAGTGCTCCCAGTGTAGTGTGTCAGTGTTCACAGTGCTCCCAGTTTAGTGTGCCAGTATTTACAGGGCTCCCAGTGCAGTGTGTCAGTATTTATGGGGGGTCCCAGTGTAGTGTGGCAGTATTTATGGGGGGGTCCCAGTGTAGTGTGTCAGTATTTACAGGGCTCCCAGTGTAGTGTGTCAGTATTTATGGGGTGGTCCCAGTGTAGTGTGTCAGTATTTACACAGCTCCCAGTGTAGTGTGTCAGTAGTTACAGTGCTCCCAGTGTAGTGTGTCAGTGTTTACAGGGCTCACAGTGTAGTGTGTCAGTGTTTACAGTGCTCCCAGTGTAGTGTGTCAGTGTTTACAGTGCTCCCAGTTTAGTGTGCCAGTATTTACAGGG